GTAAAGATAGAAAAGTCAAAATGATAGGACAGGAATATTATCTAGCCTTAAGAAGAAAACAAATTATGATATATATATTGCAATGTAGATGAATTTTGAGGACATTATGCCAAGGAAATAAACTAGCAAACCAAAAGATGAATACAGTATGAGGACCCTAGGGTAGAGAGTTTAAAGAATGATGGCTGCCAGTGGCTGGAGACAAAGAGAAATGGGGAGTTATTGTTTAATGGGCCTCATTTCAGTTTGGGAGGAAGAAGAGTTCTGGAAATTGGTTGCATAACAATCTGAATGTACTTGTCACTACTTAACTGTACACCTAAAAATGGTCAAGGTGGTAAATTTTATGTCTTGTGTATTTTACAACAAACATGTTTTTAAAATAATGGGAGAAAACTAGGAGCAATTAATGTCATAAAGTCAAACTAATAGAGAGATTTTAGAGCATAGTGATCTTCAGTGTCCAATGAAGTAGAAAAACCCTGGAAGTTAATAAGCATCGAGATTGGGCACCTACTAAAAACTAGATATTATTATCTCAAGACCCTGAGTCCCTGAGCAGTTCAGGAATACTGACAACTTGATTTATCAAGATAAGTCAATTAATGAAAAGAAGGGCCTATATTGGCTTTTTTTCTTACCATAATGGTTGGATCCAGGTCCTAGAAATGCAGCTCCAAGTGACAGTATGCCACCCCTGATGCAGCATAAAGGCACCAGGAGACCTTGGGCTACTTCTAAGTCTATAGATTAGTGTCTGAAAGCCACATACTTTTGTCATATTCAGGCAATGTGATTTACCTCATACAAACATGAGATTAGATTTGAGACAAATCAGGGCTGAATGTTTTGTAAGTATTTGACATTCCAACAGCTGTGTGAAATAGTTCCTCTTTTGAAAATCTTCATTTTATAGATGAGGAAATGGAGGTTTGGGTCTTATGGCATGTCAGTGGTGAAGTAAAGACCAGAACTCATGTCTTTGAGTCCGGCTTGATGAGAGAGACTCTACCAGAGAACACCAGACAATTTAGGTGATTTGAGTCTTCCCTTGAGCATAACTTTCTGAACTACTCTTCACCCTCTCCCTTCATCCTGGCTAGAGAGATAAATCAAGGAGAGGTTCAAAATGTCTCTTCCCTAAACGGTATCTTCTGGCAAATTGAACCAAGGATGAAAAATTAAGAAGCATGTAGATACTTAGAATGTCTCCTTTATTGCCAGTCCCCTACTGGTCCAGGCACCCCCCGCCCCCACGCCAAAAAGATCCCTGTACTCTTTAATTACCTTAAGTTTTCCCAAAGAAAAATTTTGACTTTCTGTCAAAGCATATTTGTGTGTTATAGTGTGGCCAAGTTAGTTCATGCCCTCAATAATTAGGACCTTTGGGCTGGGGATGTGGCTCAAGCAGTAGCGCACTCGCCTGGTATGCGTGCGGACTGGGTTCGATCCTCAGCACCACATACAAACAAAGATGTTGTGTCCACCGAAAGCTAAAAAATAAATATTAAAAAATTCTCTCTCTTAAAAAAATAATTAGGACCTTTGAACATGTCTCCTCCCCCATCATAAAATCATTTATTGTCTAAAACTGCTCACAAATGAATTATGTGACATGCTTATGAGCTTCTCTGCCTTCCTTCAGTTCAGGAGGTTTCCTAAACCTTTGGCTTAAGGCAAGGATAAATTTCACCTCTTGATTGAGGCTTCTCCAAATATCCCAATACCCAGGTCCTCAGCTCTGGGTTCTGAGTTCTGGGTCCTTGCAGGCCCTCCTCTGAGGTAGTGTTGTGAGGTTGTTGACACGTCTGCTTTTCCAATGGGCTGTGAGTAGCACACATTTATACCCTACTGCCCAGTGTCCAGCATGTGGGCCTAGTGTCAGAACATGAAGCAGTCTTGCTGCAGTTGGACTAGGATATATGTTGGGGTGGATGTTGTAATGTACAGACTATGGTCCTTAGTCCCTCCATTTACTTTGAACAACCTTTTTCAGTAATAGACTTTCTTCCCTCTGACTTCCAAGACTCAGCAAATCATGCTGCCCAGGTCACAATTCTGAGACTTTTTCTCTCTTCATTAACACTTACCCTAGACCGTTGTGCCAGGGCCATCTGGGTCTTCCAAAGTGGCATTAAACAAACACAAAAACACAAAATCACAAAAATTTAGTCATTGCTAATGTATAAACGGTTAAATTTATTGGGATAAATTTAAAATCCTGTATTAAAATCTAACAGCTTTTTATCAAACTCTATTATGTATGCTAATATTGGTAGGGGCATAAAGGATTAAGACACACAAGTTTCTGCATTTAAGAGTGATACTGGAAGACAAACTTTAATAAAATCTACTAGTCTCTTAAAAATAGAGACTAGTAGATTTTATTAAAGAGTTTAAAATAATTAGTAAAACTTCATATAATGATACTACTTCCTCATCTGTGGAATGACAGAGGATTTGACCAGGTTTTCTTCAAATATCCTTATTTGTTCCAAATAAATGACCAAATAGACCTTTCAAATTTTATATAACATGTTATTTACTATGTGCTAGATATTATTCTTAGTAACTCCTCCAATTTTCACAATTCTATGCAGTGGCTATTATAAATTTCTCATTTGGAGAAATGGGCAGAGAGGTTAAAAATTTGCTCAGGGACACACAGTTTTGTAGTGCAGCTGGCATTTGAACCATGACAGCAGGCTCTCAAATGTGCTCTTAACCACCATAGCATCTCTGTGAAGGCCTAAATTCATGCTTTCCTATACTTTTTAAGTGGGAAAACTAATTTTTTCTATTTTGTATTATGTCACAAACTTGGTCCTCTTACTTCAAACTGGTATAATTTACAATAGTTTCTACCATCTTCTTGGCTGCATCTCCTCTTTAGGGATTTTTCTTTTCTTTTTTTTTTACTGGAATCAATACATTTCACTCAGATATTAGCAAAGTTCTGCCTCATCCAAGGCATCATAGTCCTTCTCTCCAAAACTTATAGGGTTAAGCCTTTGCCATTTTGTAACTCTCTTTGCTACCCTTCTCTTAATTTTGATTTCACACCCCCACCATCACCCCAAGGATTTCTAGTTTCTCTAAAAACTGAGTTTCTTCCATGGCTGCTCAAACTTTCACTTGAATTCTCTCCAGATACTGCTGTAGTGGGTGAAACTGAGGGACACAGAGAGACCAGGGATGGCTGTATGCAATGAATTTTAATACAAGGCAAGGAAAATTTGGTCCTGTGTACTGAGGTTTTAAGAAGAGAGTAGTATTTGAGCAGATAATACAGTCTGAAGTCTTTTGTGAGTTGGGCAGAGGTGGCACTCCAGGCTAATGGAGGGGAGATGAGTCTGAGGTCTCCACGTCCCATGTCCCTCAAGTCAATCATCCCTCCTGATCTCTTCCCTGAAATGAACTGTGTGTGATGTTCCAGATTTTTTTTTTTTTTTGTACTAGGGTTTGAACCCAGTGGTACTTAACTATTGTGTCACATCCTCAGCCTCTTTGATTTATTATTTTGAGACAGGGTCTTGCTAAGTTGCTTAGGCTGGCTTTGAACTTGTGATCCTCCTGCCTCAGCCTTCCATGCTACTGGGATTACACACCTGGCTGGTGTTCCAGATCTTGACAAAGTCCAGAAAAACCTATATCAAGACAATATGTTTCTCTACATTGTGGACTGCAATCATTTTATAGATTACATCCATTTCTCTGCTAAAATTCCATTTGTTTTTCATCCACTCAAGAAAACGTATCAGAATGTAAGCGAGCTTAATAGGCCCACAAAATGACTTTGATTTATTTTGCAGGCTTAATCATCTGAAAAGGCCAGTTCTTTGTTGTAACTGTTTTCTCCAATGTACTTTTCAATTGCTCTTTCAGGAGGAGTTGCCTCAGATAGAAGGTGAAGGATCTGGTCAGGGTATATGATGGGTCTCTGGAGACAGAACCCAAATCCAAGCTCCCGACAGCAGATTGCAGATTAGAATCTAAAAAGTATAAACATTTTTTGAGCTTGGTTATATTTGAAGGGTTTATGTCTCCCAAACCAAGAGTGCCTCTTTTCTCTGGTTCCCTTCAAAGCACTGCTGATGAGATATTCCTAATTAATTTTACACCCCTCTAAACATTTCTTTACATCAGCACTTCTGAACTGACTTTGGTTCCCTATTTCTTTATTAATTCTTCAGAATGATTTTCCTTTTCAGTGACCTGCAATGTCCCAAAGGCAAAAAACAGGTCCATTTCTGATTGTTCCATGCACCCTCCTTCCCCACACAAGAGGCCCATATAGGAAAATTCAGTTGCCTGGCATCAGGAGGTTTCAAATATTCACTTGTTATTTGTCGAATAACCTCCACTGATAAAGCTGTTCTAAAAAAAAACACAGCAATTGGCAAATAAATGTAAATTCGGACAAATGGAAGAACCTGGTGATAGCCTGAATTTACATTACATAGCCTGAACAGACTGGCTTTCTCTATGACATAATCAGGAACCCCGGGAAAAGAAAGGGCCAGGTAAGAAATAGGAGCAGCTTCCTTAGGGAAAGGATGCTTAGACATTTCTCTGCTTACAAATGGAGACAGCATTTAGAGTGCACCCCATAAAAGCTCAATACACCGGTACCCTGGCACTTCTGATTGCTATCTGTGAATTTCTAAACGCTACTGATATTTACGTAGTTCTTTCTAGTTTTTAAAGGGGTTCCCACACCCAGGGCTTCATTTGATTCTTATGAATACTTTGCTGGGGTAAAGGACAGGTCTCATTATTCTTGCTGCAGAAGGGAAACCAAATCTCTGGAGCCCACAGAAATCAGAGGAACCAGGATCTGAGCCTGTAAGTAAATATTCATTGAATTGAACCAATATAGAAATATGAGTATTTTAAGGTAAACAGAATGTCTGCCCTTAAAAAGCTCATAATATAGTTGGGAAGAAATGCCCAAATTAAAAATAACAGTATGAGGATTAAATAAGGCAAGACCAAACACAAAACAGTAAATGCATCCTTTATTGTGAAATAAACTAAGAAAATGCTTTGATATTTTCGTGTACTTATATAACTTTCATCTCTTTATTGAACTGAAATTTCCAAGTATTCTCCACTGTCCCCTACTCCTAACCCAAGTTGCAGCTCAGTATTCTGGGTTTTATGTAGATTCACTGCATCTATTGTCTTCAGTTTGATACCTTAGCTATGGATATCTGGGTTTGTCACACTTCTTCAGTTCTATGTTTGCAGAACACAGGAGCTCCTGGTCAAAAAGAAGCAAAAAAAAAATGAGACATAAAGGAAGGAATCTCAGGAAAAAATAACTGACCAGGCCAATGGAGAGAGTAAATAAGAAATCAGAACATGCCCAAGGTCAGGACTGTCTCTTCCTGATACTCAGAAGAAACATAAGTCTAATAATTATGTGCATGCTAATAGAGCCTTTAAAATTGGTATTTCCCCAAATCTAGAATGGCACTAGCACTACCAAATTCCCCTAAATGCCTCCTCCTTCATCTGGGGGATTGTGTAGCCTTCCACATAGAGACTGTCTCCTTATTCACTTCAATCAGGGCTATCCCATTGGCAAAAACAGATTCACAGCAGACAGAACCTCACACACGTGCTCATCAATAGATGAATGAGTAAAAAATTGTGGAATATACAAATAATAGAATGTTATTATATCACAGAAAGAAGTGCTGATTCACACTGTAACATAGGTAAATCCTGAAAACTATGTGAATAAGAGAAGCCAGACATATGCAATTCAGTCAAAATATCCAGAACAGAACAAATGATACAGACAGGAAATAAATCAGTAGTTCCTGGGGATAGGGCAGGGAGGAACAGGGAGTGGCTGCTAATAGATATGGTGTTTCTTTGTGAGTGATGAAAATATTCTGGAATTGGTGATGGCTGTACAACTCTAGGAATATATTAAAAACCACTAAGTGGTTAAAAAAAAAAGTGGACAATGTTAGAGTTTTACTTTGAATTTAAGGAGAGAACTGAATTATATTATTTATTTCCTTGGACAGGAAACATAGCTTCATACATGTGTGACAAGTGCTCAGAAATCAGAGGAACCAGGATATGAGCCTATAAGTAAATATTCATTGAATTGAACCAATATAGATATATGAGTATTTTAAGGTAAACAGAACGTCAGCCCTTAAAAACTCATAATATAGTTGGGAAGAAATGTCCAAATTAAAAATAACAGTATGAGGATTAAATAAGGCAAGACCAAACACAAAACATTAAATGCATCCTTTATTGTGAAATAAACTAAGAAAATGTTTTGATATTTCAGTGTACTTATATAACTTTTAGTTATATAAGCCACTGAGCCACAACTCCAGCCTGCATTATCTCATTTAAGGTTCACAATAATTGAATTAGTTTAAGGATTATCATGATCCTTACTGCACTCACAACAAAACTGAGTAATTAGCCAAAGAAAATACTTCAGTGAGTGGCAGAACTGGAATGAAAGAATCTTCAGATTTAAAGGGAAATGTATCCAGGAAAAATCAAATAATTAAGTCATTCTGGTACAGTTTACCGAAATTCAAAGATAAAGGGAGGAAGAGATCCAAGAGAACTAGAGGGAGGCTGTATTCCTTGTTGCTCTGTGACTTGGGATACAAGCAGATGAAATACTGTTTCTCTGAGAGACAGCCCTTGCTGCCCACTGATCCCCTGCTGTTTGCCCCTACTTTGTCCGCCAGCCCCTTTTCCAGTATATCACATGCCTTTTGGGTGCTGATCAGTGGCTACTTCCACTGACTGCCCGCTGGCTGCCCGTTTGCCTGCCTTTTACCTGCTCATCTATGCCTTTAGCCAGCCAAATGCCCACCCTTTGCTGGCAGACTGCCGGGCCCATTGCTGCCCAGAAGTCCATTGTCAGGGTACCTGCAGGTTAAGTTAGACGTGATTGCAGCCATCTTGGGAAACTGGCCAGGGCCTGGGAGTCTAGGGCCAAGGGGCCTGAAGGTTTGCTACTGCCACCACTGCATCTCAGGGCTGGCTGCCTCAGTCTGGAGATACTAGTCAGGTCCTAGAGATATATCATCAGGATACCTGTAGGTCTGGATGCACTTGCTGAGTGTGCTAGTAGCCGTGATCTGGCTGCCTCTTTGCAGGGTGGCTCCTTTGTGTGAGCACATCCCTGGTAGTCTTTCTGATAGTTGGAATAGCATTGAGATCTTGGGACTGCAGCAAGGCAGAGCCTGGGGAATCTGAAGCCCAGGTCCATCAGATTGCAGATGGGTCTGTGTGGGCCAGTCTGGGCCTGGCAAGCCTGTGGAAAGCCAGAGTCTTGGGGCAGTTCCCTGGGGTGGGGAGCACACAGGTTGGAGAAACTGGAAAGAACCAGGAATCCTGAAGTGCCCTGGGACAGAAGGGCCTAGCTACAAGTGCAAAGGTTAGAAGAGGGTATGAGGGCATCCTGCTATCAGACTGGGGAGCTACCATCAAACTTTAGAAAATCCCACCTATTGGCGGAAAAGAAAAGCTGAGAAAATTTTTGAAAGCCAATGGAAGCAACTGTTCAACTTTCCATAGAGACTTTCCTTTTTTTTTTCTTTCTTTTTCCCTTTTTCTCACATCTCTACCATGTATGAATTCAAATATTTTTCATGCATCAGTTTATTGAGGAGTGGGATGTCTGACTAGTATATCAAAGTTTGGTTTTGTATTCTTAAATTTTTACTTTAAAAAAAAAATCTATATTTTTTTCTTTCACTTCTGTCTCCCTGGATTCTCTTTCTCACTTCTCTCATGCTAAACAGCCAACCTGTACTAATTCCTTCTTTGCTCTTACTATAAATTTTTACCTCTATCTTCTCTCCTCCCTCATAAACATCACATCCTCCACTACTTCTGTTCCTTCTGTCCAGCATTTGAAATAGTAAACCCTTTTAGCAAACTTACTGTTTATATTGTAGACAATAATTGAACACATCATTTCTGTTTACTGAGACAAAACTGTAGCTCCTTAATAGGAGCTATTTGGTTTAAGGTTGTATATTGCTTGCATTGGGTGCTGTTAATATTGGTCTCCCCCTCAAAGGTGAGGTACTAGAAGCCTGCAGGGACACTATAAGAAACTGTACTGCCTCAGATTCATACCGCTAGATGGACACAAAAACAACTTGAAAAAACAAGAGAACAAAGCACCTCAATCAAACCAAGATGTTCCAGCAACAGAATCCATAGACAACATAGTAGAAGAAATGCCAGAGAAGAAGTTTAGAAAGTACATAGTTAGACTGATCTTTGAAATAAAGGATGGTATCAGAGAGAAAATACAGGAAGTAAAAGATCACTTCAATAAAGGGGCAGATATTATAAAAAGGAACCAAGCAGAAATCCTCAAAATGAAGAAAACAATAAATCAAATTAAAAATTCAATGGAAAGCATCACCAAGAAACTAGTTGGTCCACTGAAAAAATAAATAAAATTGATAAACCTGTAGCCACGCTAACAAAGAGAACAATGCAAGCGTGGCTATGAGTTTAATTCAAATTACTAAAATTCATGATAGAAATATCAGGACAGACACTACTGAAAAACAAAGGATAATTAAAAACTATTTTGAGAATCTATACTCCAATAAAACAGAAAATCTTGAAGACATTGACAAATTTCTAGAGACATATGATCTACCCTAACTGAATCAGGAGGACATACCAATTTAAACAGATTAATTTCAAGCAATGAATTAGAAGATGTCTTCAAAAGCCTGCCTACTAAGAAAAGCCTAGGACCAGAAGGATTCTCAGCTGAGTTCTACAAGACTTTCAAAGAAGAATTAACACCAGTACTCTTCAAATTATTCCATGAAACAGAATAGGAGGGAACCCTTTCAAACTCAATTCTATAAAGCTAGTATCACCCTGATATCAAAACCAGACAAAGACACATCAAGGAAAGAAAACTTCAGACCGATATCCCTGATGAGCATAGATGCAAAAATTCTCAATAAAATTCTGGAAAATTGCATACAAAAACATCTTTAAAAGACAGTGAAACATGATCAAGTGGGGTTCACCCCAAGGATGCAAGGTTGGTTCAACATATGGAAATCAATAAATGTAATTCATCACACCAACAGACTTAAAGATAAGATATGATCATCTCAATAGATGCACAAAAAGCATTAGACAAAACACGGCACCTCTTCATGTTCAAAACACTAGAAAAACTAGGGATAGCAGGAACATACCTCAACATCGTAAAAGCTATCTATGTAAGCATGAGGCAAACATCATTCTAAAAGGAGAAAAACCAAAAGCATTCCCCATAAAAACTGTAACAAGACGGGGATGCCTGCTCTCACTACTTTTATTCAACATAGTCCTTGAAACTCTTGCTCTCACAAAAGAAATTAAAGGGATACGAACAGGAAAAGAAGAACTCAAACCATCACTATTTGCTGGCGACATGATTCTATACTTGGAGGATCCGAAAAATTCTACCAGAAAACTTCTGGAACTAATAAATGAATTCAGCGAAGTAGCAGGCTATAAAATCAATACTCATAAATCAAATGCATTCTTATACATCAATGAGGAATCCACTGAAAGAGAAATTAGGAAAACTACCCCATTCACAATATCCTCAAAAAAAAAAAAAGAAAAAAAAACCCATCTGGGAATCAATCTAACAAAAGAAATGAAAGACCTCTACAATGAAAACTACAGAACACTAAAGAAAGAAATTGAAGAAGACCTTATAAGATGGAAAGATCTCCCATGCTCTTGGGTAGGCGGAATTAATATTGTCAAACAAGGCCATACTACCACAAGTGTTACATTTAATGCAATTCCTATTAGAATCTCAATGTCATTCTTCACAGAAATAGAAAAAGCAATCATGAAATTCATTTGGAAAAATTAGAGACCCAGAATAGCCAAAGCAAACCTTAGCAAAAAGAATGAAGAAGGAGACATGATCATAATGCCAAACCTAAAATGACACTACAGAGCTATAGAAGCAAAAACAGCATGGTATTGGCACCAAAACAGACATGTAAACCAATGGTACAGAAGACACAGAGATAAACCCACCTAAGTAAGATTATCTCACACTAGACAAAGGCACCAAAAACATACATTGGGGGGAAAGATAGCCCATTCAACAAATGATTCTAGGAAAACTGGAAATCCATATGTTGGAAAATGAAATTAAACCTCTCTTACCCTACACAAAAATCAACTCAAAGTTGATCAAAGACTTAGGCACTTGAACACAGACCCTGCGCCTAATAGAAGAAAAAAGTAGGACCAAATCTCCACCATGTCGGCCTAGGAACTGATTTTCTTTACAAGGCTCCTAAAGTGCAAGAAGTAGAATCAAGAATCAATAAATGGATTCAAACTAAAAAGCTGCTTCTCAGCAAAAGAGACAATTAATAACAAAAAGAGAAGGCCTACAGAATGGGAGAAAATCTTTAGCACATGCACCTCAGATAGAGCATTAATCTCCGGGATATATAAAGAATTCAAAAACTTAACACCCCAAACCAACCAAACTAACAACTAAAAAACCCCTCAAATAACCCAATCAATAAATGAGCTAAGGAACTGAACAGACACTTCTCAGAAGAAGATATACACTCAAATTAACAAACATGAAAAAAAATGTTTATCATCTCTACTAATTAGAGAAATCCAAGTCAAAACTACTTTAAGATTCCTTCTAATTCCCATCAGAATGGCAATTATCAAGAATACAAACAACAATAAATGTTAGTGAGGATGTAGGGAAAAAGGTATACTTACACATTAATAGCGGGACTGCAAATTGGTGCAACCCACTCTGGAAAGCAGTGTGGATATTCCTCAGAAAACTTGGAATGGAACCACAATTTGACACAGTTATCCCACTCCTTGTTTTATAACCAAATAATAAGCAGCATACTACAGTGACACAGCCTTATCAATGTTTGTAGCAGCTCAACTCACTATAGCTAGCAACTTTGGAATCAACGTAGATGCCCTACAACAGATAAATGTGGTACATATTCACATTCTTAAAGAGGGAGCTGGAGAATATCATGCTAAGCGAAATAAGCCAAACCCCAAAACCAAAGGCTGAATGTTTTCTCTGATAAGCAGATGCTAATCCATAATGGAGGGGGGGGAGGTTAGGGAAGAATAAAGGAACTTTGGATTATGCAGAGGGGAGTGCTGGAAGGGGAGGGAGTGTGGGATGGAAGGATGGTGGAATGAGATGGATATTATTACCCTATATACATGTATGATTACACTATTGGTGTGACTCTGCACCATGTTCAGTCAGAGGAAGATAAATTGTGCTCTATTTGTGTACAGTGTGTCAAATACATTCTACTGTAATGTATAATTAATTAAAAAAATTAAATAAAAGATAAAGGGAAACTTACATGATCATTCTAACTGGAAAATTCAAGTTTCTCCCAAGGGAAGAAAAACAAAAGATCAACTTGACTTCAGATTTCTCCTCGGTATCAACTGGTGTTAAAGATCAGAAGGGCAATAAATCCTAAGGAAGAGAGGGCCCAAGACTTTCATGGTTGGCCTGTTGTCCTTCAAGAAGAAAGGTTGATACTGCTTTCACTTGTGCTTCAGGTTTGTCACCTAAGAAGCTTTCCAATGGTTCAGCAAATCGCAGGAAGGTCCTGGTCAGCAAGGCTTGGGTCTTGTGACACTCAATTTCCAGGATCTGGGCATGAGATGCCCAAACATCCCAGCTTGAGAAGAGACAGAGAGGCTTATCATGATCATGGAATAACTGGAAGGAACTTCATGAAAGTTTTTGTGATTGATTGAATATGGGAAGTTTATGGAAAACCACTGGGTTTCTGCCACAGCAACTGGCTGTATAACTAAGCCACTTCTTGGGAGAGGTCATGGATGGAACAGTCATAAGTTTAGCTTTGGGCACTTGAATTAGAGGTTTAAGGGGATCAGTGAGGAAACTAAGCTGAGATGTCCAGCAGGCAGGTGGATCAATGGGCCTGGAGGATAGAGGAAAAGGGTCTGGGAATGTGTATCTGGGTTTATTGGACACAAGTTGACAATGGAAGCCAGATGACTTCAGTGGGATCACCTGAAAAGAAAAGTATAAAATGAGAACTGAGTGACCAGAAAGAGCACAGGAAATCTCAGCATTTAAATGTCAGGCATAGGAAAAGAGGGAGAAGCTAGTTAGGAAGCAAGAAAGGAGTAGCCAGAGAGTAAGAAGGAAACTGAGGAGAAGTGTGATGGTATGCAAGTCAGGGGAGAAGCGTGTCAGAAGGAGAAGAGAATAGCTGAGTATGCTGAAGTTGCAAAGAGGCACAATAGGATGAAGAGATGAAATGAGTGTGGGTGTTTCCTTATGGGTCCAAATTTTAAAGATATTCCAGAATAAAAGAACAAATAGCAAATGTACATGCTGACTTCTGTACTTACAGAGTTCAGACTTAAACCTGTACAAAGAATACTACCCAGGTTAAGGAGAAGCCCAGGAAACTACAAGAGTACCTAGTTTCTCTAAACCAATACTATCTGAAAATCGCATGTCTGAAAAAAATATGTGTGAAAATATTCAAGAAAATATTTAAAAAATGAAAAGGTCAATGAAGAAAGGCTCTTAGTGCTTACTATTAGCTACACAGACAGAAATAGGTATCAGAACAGATAACAAACTGAAATGGAAAGTCCCCAATACATTAAATTGGTGGGCCATTTGGATGAGCCTCTTAGTCTCTGATTAACTTCTTTCTAGTTGGAGAGGTAGGAAATCTGGTTCCTTTGCAATTAGATTCAGCTTATTAGGTGTCCTTGAGTTAAATTTTGGAAGGCAGAAGAAAGGTGGGAGCCATTTTCCTACTGCTTCTGACAGAAACATGAAGCATCCACAGGAAGGAGGAACCCACTTGGTATAAACAGTCCTTTAGCCATGTTCTGCAGATATTCAATCCCTTTTGGCCACCCCAATCTAAATGATAACCTAGGAGATCCTGCCTTTTGAGACTTTGCCAACTGGTCCTTCAGGTGAAATAACTAATACACAAATTTCTAGCTTACTCTTAGGAGTTTATCCTAAAGGCAGAGCATAGTCAGACTTCTGCCCCAGCTGGTGTTGACTTTTTTTTATCTTCCTTAAAGCAAAGGGGGATAGTAAAACACCATGTCCCTGAAAGCTCCTTTTCTGTTCCCCAAAACCTCAGCAAATTAAGGGAACTGTCCTTTGTCCTTTAATATAATATGTATCTATACTTTCCATCCCATTTCTATTTCTGGGATGGAAAGTCTAGATACATATTATCTTAAAGGACAAAGGCTTTCTCTTAGGCACACTGGAAACAAGATAAGTTAATGTTATCTGTAGAAAGCTACTTTATTGCAAGTACCTTAGGACAGATGCTCCTGCAATGCTGGTCAGACAAGCAAACTAAGCAAGCCAATACTTATGATGTTACTGCTTGTGCAGCCTAATATATAAAACTGCTCTCTGGGTGAGTGCTGAATTGAGGGCACCATGGAAAGGATACACTAGAGTACTTACAAGCATAAGCTTGCAGAAAAACTTCAGGCTTAGTGTTATCTGGTAATATCCAGAGCACATAAACAAAAGGCAAATGACAAACTGGGAAAATAGCTGCAACACAGGTAACAAAAGGTTGATATTCTAGAAAGAGTTCTTGCAAATCAACAACAACAACAACAAAAAGATAAGCCCAAGTGGGTAAAAGATATGAGTAAGCAACTTTCAAATGCTTCAAAAATAAAAAAGTTGTACTTTACTAGTAATTAATAGAATAAATTTAAAACTACACTGCAAAACCATTTTTCTTAAAACTACACTGCAAAACCATTTTTCTATCTGATTAGAAAAGACAAAAAAGAAAAAAAAAACAACAAAACAGTGCTGGCAGGATGTGGAAAGAAGCTGGTGTCAAAGCAGTGCCACCTCTCTGTAGATATTTTGATAACATGCATCAAGAGCTTTCAACAATAATCACACCTTTTGACACTAGTTCCAGAACTTTATCTTCAAGATGTAATTAAGGATGTGTACAGAGACTTAGCTACAATTAATTTTATAAATGTGAAAAGCTGGAAATAACCCCAATGTATAAAAAGAAGGGAAATAATTATGCTACATCTGTAATAATGAGAAACCAGAGTCATTAAATGGCATGCAAAATGGAAAAATGTTCACCACATATATTAAGCTATACAAGCCAGTTGCAGTATAATTCCAAATATGCACAAATATGAACAGAATAAATGGGAAGGCTTGTTTATTTCTGGTTGCTGTGTTTACTATTTTTTCCATTTTGTTTATGGTTCACTAATTTTCCTCAATGAATGTACATTTCATTTATTATAATTAAAAAAACTCTAGCAATTATATGAAGGTAAAAAGGAAAGAAAGGGCATTAGTAAAATTTGAATTGACTGAAGTAAAACTGTAACAGATCACTAATCAGTAAATAAACAAATCATTAAGTATTAACATTTCTTTTGAATTAACTAGATTTAGTTTTTCTAGCATTAAAGGGAATGAGACCTCAAATATAAATTGACCTGAGGTACAGAAAATAAAATCACAATACAGGTATACCTATCTTTGAACTGTAAAACTGCTACCAGTTATGTATGTATGTGTGAATGTCTAAATATTTTAAAGGACATCCAATAAGTTGAAAACTGTGATTCCCTTTAGTAAGGTGGAATTAGAGGAGAAAGAAGAGATAAGTTTTCTTCACACAACTCCATGTATTTTGACTTGGTATAACAGGTATGCAAAAATCTAAGTAAAAAGTGCAGTTAAGATAAAAAAATGATGTTTATATACTTATGAAAATACTTAGAAACATGAAGTATGGTATGATGATTAAAATCATTAGCAATATACAGCAGGGAATCAAATATGCTTCCCCTCACGGAATTTAAATTCCAGTAGGGTGAGACTATGTTAGGAGGCCAAAGTGCTAAAAAAAAAAAAAGGAACTGCATAAGGGAAACTGTCAGTGTTGTGGGAAAGGAGCAAATTTATACAAGTTGGTTAGGGAAGGACTCACTGATAAAGTTTGAAAAAAAATCGAGGGTTGAGGTTGTGAGTGATGATGAATATCTAGAAGAGCTTCACAGAGAGGATAGAAAAAAAGGTAGGCCCAAAGAACTGTAATGAGGGCAGTGTGGTTGAGACAAGAGTAATTCAGAAGAGAGCAAGCCTGTCAGAAAGGTAAGAAAACCATTGAAAATGAGTTCTATAAGACACTGTAAGAACTTTGCCTCTACATATCAAGCAAAATAGGGATCTCCTATTGTGATTTTAAGCAGAGATATACCAGGATACCACTGGCTGCTGTGTGGAAACCTGGCTATGAGGTAAGGCAAAGACTCCTGGTTGTCTTGGTGAAGGGTGAAGGTAGCTGTGGAGATACTGTTGGGTCCTAGACATAATTTGAAGGTAAATCCAACAAAATTTCCAATCAGACTGGAAGCGAGATAATAAGAGGATGACTTTTTGGGTTTTGAGTAAATAGAGTTGTCATTAATTCAGACAGGAAAGATGGATGACTTAAGTAGGTCTGGAGTTGAGGGTAGAAAAGAAACTTATTTGTGGACTTGTTATTCTTGAGTGTAAGCAGTATATATTTTAAAAAATAATGTTCTTAATATTATGATGACATCTCTCCAAATACAAAATTCATTTCAGCACTCCTGGCCCAGCAACTATTAAATTTCCAGTGTGGAACACTTTCAAGTTAGTAACTTCCTGATCTAGAAAAATCACATGGATAGAAAATATGCAGAAGCTGGGAGCCTACCTTCTGTTCCAGTTTTCAAAAAGTGGGAAAAAGTAGAGGCTGCAAATACATCCACAATCTTGGCAAGACTCTAGAGCACGCTGCTGACAACATACAAGCTCCAAAAATTATTGGTGGCTGTCCATGGATTCAACTTGAAATCAAGAAAAAAAAAAAAAAAAAAAAAAAAAAAAAAAAAAAAAAAGCAACAGGGCGATTTTGGAACTTGTAAATCCAGTATTTGAAGGAACATGTTTAAGGAACAGGTGGCACCTGATAATGGCAATACTGTGTATAGTGTTGTTACATAGGAGGTCAGCAATCCAGACTGTAAGGTTCAAGCACAGCATCTGTCCTGCAACCTTGGGCATAACTCTCGTTCTGGTGACGGTATTTGGAGTCCTGATCTCTGGGTATTCAGTCACTACTTGTAAAGAGCTCAGCACAGTGAGTGTACAGCGAAGGGCTATGAGAAGGGGTCTTCCTACTTTTTCTCTTTTTGTTAAGTATTCACACCCTTTCTCTTTCTAGACAAGGAAGATCCTGCCTAATGCAGAGATGCAGCGAGAAAAAAAACAACGATAAGCAAAACAACTTTCCTCCGGTATTGCTACAGAGTTCTCAGCACAGGAATAGGTAAATACAGAACTCGCCAAGACAGACTGCATTCAGAAAGCCGAGCTGCACAAGGGGTTAGAAGCCAGGTCAGGCGAGCCGTTGCCAGGCAAAGTTAGGACGGAAGAATAGCGACAGGGTTACACAGCAGAAGCTCCGCCCCCGCTTCCGTGCACTCCGCCGCATCCCTTTCCCGCCCAAGTCCCGCCCACCAGGCAGTCAGAGCGTCAACGCTCGCGACAGGGTCCGCGACGCATGCGTTTTTGGTCTCGATCGGCTTGGCGTGACGCTCGCTCCTACTCTCGGCCAAAGTCTCTGCCCTGCCCCCTCTTGTACGACCGCTACCCTGAGCCCCAGCTTCGTTCTCACCCAGATCTGGCTCTGCCCAAACCTCGACTTCAATCCTGTGAACAGTGACTGTAGAACAACCTCCAGCACTGCAGACCCACGTCCCGCGCTCCCGTAGTGGCGGTGGTGATGGGCGGGGGTGGGGTGGGATAGAATAGGCGGGACGTGGGAAGGCAGCGGTTGCCTTGGGCCCACTTCCGGAGGACGGGCGGAAGTGGCTGCGGTGGATGGTGGGAGGGGGAAAGGAGCGCAAGGGGAGGGCCGGGCCGCCGGGGGTCGAGGGGGTGGGGCCTGGGCCCGCGGTGGGGACCAGGCCCAGGGCCCGGACTTCGACCCCGGGCGGGCCATGGTTTCCGGCCGACACAGGGTGGGCGGGATCCAGGTAACGACTCTACGCGCTAGAGAGAGGGTCGTCCTTGCGGCGGATCAATAGGGTTCGGACTATAGAGAGGGTTAGAGTGTCACCCCCTTGCCCCGTGAACACTGAACACGGGATTCTGAAGAGAAGGGTGGGAGGAGTTAAATTCCTGGTGGGGGGAGGGGAGGTTATGTGGATGCCACGCCCCTACAGGAAGGAAGTGTGTGTGTGTGTGTGTGTGTGTGTGTGTGTGTGTGTGTGTGTGTTTAGGAGTAAACTTACGAGGGGGCAAAAAGGATGGGCTCTTGGAAGGTTTGGGCTTGGAGTCAGGCCTAAAACATTCCAGGAGAGTGCTTTCGGGAGTGGCCCTGTGAAAGAGTTTGATGGAGATTGGGAATTACATCCCTGACACAGTTTTGGAAGCAGAGGGGGAGGTGAGGGTTGAAGAAAAGAGAGCAAGGAGTGCATGTAGAAGGTACCTACATCTCGGAATGGAAATGATTTAGTTCAGTTGCAGAGAGCTGGCAGATTAAAACACTGAATACCCTAAGAAGCTTGAGAGATCCGATTAATATGTGGTACCTTAAATGAGTGGAGGACGTTCTTTTCTGCATTCCTTAGAAGACAGTTTCCCCCATTCAGTACTTTTGCTTACTTTTTTTGTACTGAGAATAGGTATGACTCTTATTCTGAGCCACATCTATGTGCCCATATTGATTAGGTGACTGTTTTGGGGTACAGTATGTGAATGAAGTAGATATTAAGGTATTTCTTAGTACCTTAAGGGATCTCAGTGGTGGAGCACTGAATGCACAAGGCCTTGGTTCAATCCCTAGCACCACAAAAAAACAACAAAACAAAACAAAAATAAAAGCCTTCTATAATCTTGTGTGGAGTATTTAAGGAAGGGTTTTTAATGATATACTAATGGAATATAATTCAGAAATGGAGGGGGAACTAGAAAGTCTTAGGAATCTATCCAGTATGGACTAGATTAGAGAGCATCTTAATGTTTAAATGTTCTGCAGGTTAATACAGATATCAACGGCCCGGGCCATGCAGGTTTTAAGGCCTGTTTCTTCTCATGAGTTCCAGCAGAAGACAGACGGAGGAGTCCTCAGGGTGGATGACTTTCCTTTCCTGAGCAAGAGATGCAATAATACTTGGAGTCTGTCCATCACTAGGCTCTGAGCTTAGTAAACCAGCTGAATGAAGGCATGTAACAGACCCCTGGGAGGGACATTGAAATCTGCAGTGGGGGGGGAGGGGCTTGGACACACCCCTTCCCCCCAGACTCCTCCTCCTCCTCAGAGTCCATTCAGCCATGGACTTTGGACCTGGATAAGAGGAAAAAGCTGCACTTTGTTTGGTGGATCTGATTTGGATTCTCGGTTTTGAAAATGGAGTGTTGGATGGGCATTTCATGATCTCCAGGGGAGCAACTGAGAAAAGAAAGGTAAGGTTCCTGTCTCATATCCCACTTAGTGTTTTGGTGCTCCTGTGCAGAAATGTTTGAATGGAAAACACTGGGGATTGGAGTCATTCAGGAAGTCAGGGCACCACCTGTGCCCTGGTGAGAATCCTTATCCTAATGAACTTCACCTCTCCTTTACTTTCCCCATTTGCAAACTTGTAGCCATCCTTTCCTTTCTGAGACCAGAGGGATACCTGGTAAAGAAGGTATTGTGAATAATTAGGATTGTGAAGTTAGGTATGCGGTTAGGCCAAGAACATGAAAAGAATCAGGCTTCTGAAGGGATATTGGATTAAATTACCTTTAAAGGTCTTTCCACCAGTGAGATAATAAATAGGATTTCAAGTCCATTTGGGGTAAGACTCTGAAATGTGTTGCCTAGACAGAGGCAGGCTGCTCTTTTTGGGGAGCTAACTAAATAAGGCAACTAGGTGCAATGGTGTATGCCTGAAATCCCAGCCATTTGGGAGGTTGGTAGGAGGATCTCAAGTTCAAGGCCAGCCTCAGCAATTTATTGGCCCTAAGCAACTTAGTGAGACCCTGTCTCAAAACAAATAAAAAAAGGGCTGGGGATTTAAGTGGTAAATTTCCACTGGGTTAAATCTGCAGTTACCTCTTCCCCCCAAAATAGGACAGTGAGGAGGGGCTAGAGGTAGGAAAGATAAATTGTTTCTTCCTCCTTCCTCTATAAGGGAATTTGGGACATGAAACCTCATAGAAAAAATAGAAAACCACCTACCTAAATTTGAGAATCAGTAGGTTTTGTGTTCTAGCTCTGACTTTCTGAGTCAATGTTCAACCCTACATATATTGATCAACTTCTGTTGTTTTCTTCACTTGAAAAATGTTGATAACTATCATGACAGGTCCCTCACAAGATTTACCAGAAGGAAATGAAATAATGATACATTTTGACAAGTACCAAGGCCATGACATATAAAACAGTAACATTGGCGTTCCTTGACATACCTGTTCGTTACAGTGAGAAAAATCTCTAATTAGGTGTTCTTTCTTATATTAAATTACCTTACTGGCAAAAGCCTTAGAAGACATCCTTAATTAAAAGCCTGCCCTGAATTTGTCTGTCTTACTGCTGTTAATACCTGGTATCATCATATTGTAGAAAAGGTGAATGGATTAAGGACTTAAATTTGAGCGATTATGTCAGCTACTGCACTGCCATAATGGTTCTCCATTTATTTCTACCGAGTACCTCTTTTTGGGGTAGAAAATTGAAGAGGGGTAGAGGGAAGTTTGCTGGGTTTCTGTTCGTGACTAAAAGGCTCAGGGGTCACTCCAGGAAAACTGGGTTGACTGGGCTACGCAAAATAACCACACAAGAGACACAAATACCTTTTTCTTTGAGGTCCCTGTGATGGCTCCTCTGACCTTAAGGGTCCACAGGAAGAGAGAGAGAGAGAACACACACACACACACACACACACACACACAAGCTGACCCCTTTTATTGAGGAGAAGCTATTCAAATGAGGCAAGGGGTCAGGTTTCAGGGGGCTGAGTTCAGCTTCATGATGTCTGCTGTTAGCAGGTTGACTGACATCTAGGTAGGCCACACCCAAGGGCACAGTAAGAGAAGGGGACACACACAAGGCACTTCCATGGAACATTCTATCCTAAACAGGGCAAGGGGTAATATTACAAAGGAACAGGAGATCATAGCTCCACCCATGGGGCTGTAGGAAGACATGCTCAGGCACAAAGACACAGTCACTTGGAAGAGCCAAGAAGAGCTGGGCAGACTAGCAGCATGGGTGCCTGACTGCCACATCGCCCAGCAGGGGAGTTAACTCAGTCAAGGTTGGTCTCCCACAGAAGTTTAAATCTCAAGGGCCAAGTGTCTGTTTGGGAGATAGAGCTCTATTTCTTGGGGTGAATGCTGGTTCTTTCCTTCTTATGCCATATCCCTAGTCTTCTACTCTTTACAATGATAGGTTTTTTCAGACTGAATCTCTTAGCCATGTGTATTTCTGCAGACTGTCTCACTTAAAGCAAACCTGTTCATAGTAATCTTATCACTTCTTGCCCACACCTTCCTTGAACTCTGTTTACTTATGCCAAGTCTGCTAAGAAATAGTGACAACAAATAGTGGAAAGGAGAGGTGGCACATAGTGCTGGGAATTTTGAGATGGTAGAGAGAATGGTGGTCTGGGTCAGTATGGTGGTCTGGGCCAGGAAGTTTGTCTTCTGGAATTTCTTTGCTTCTTACTTACTGAGTAACAGCTGGGACTCACATTCAGTGGGGACTGGTAATAATAACTGAAAATCCAGTATTTATGCCTTACTTTCTTTATTAGATTTCTTTCTTTTTGCCCACTTTTCGCATTCTTCCTTGCCATAGGAATCCCTGCCTCCTCCCAGTGGCCTGAGGGCTGGGCAGGCCTGAGTGCCCGGATCACTGACCCTGAGGTGTTCTTCCTTTTCTGGATGTCTGGAGCATAGCCCCTTTGACACCAGCCTGCTATGTGGGAGGATATGTCACCTTTCACCAGCTTCACACAGCAAATTCCTGGTGCCAGTCTTTGCTTAGGCAGAGGGGATCACAGTGATCCTTTGGTTAGCCCCGGATGCTTTCTCAACTGTCTCTGGGGTTCATGCTGTGTAAGAAGGGTCCTCATTTTCCTACCTTAGAGTCTCTACTATCCTGTGAGTGCTTGTGAGCACCTCCAACCACTTGAAGTAACAAGAAGTATTGTATTTGTATAGTGTTGATGTCATGTGAAGAGTCCAAGCTGTTGTGTCAGTATTCCCTCACTGCTTTGTTGTGATGAAGACAGAGTGGCGATTATTTCTGCGTTTGAGGGGAAGCTACAGAAGCCCTTAAGCTGGAAGGGCTTGCCTGAGGGTGGAGTGGCGGACATTGAAATTGCCTGTGCAGTGCAGAGCTGCTTTTACAACATCTGATCTGACAAGGGCGGCTTAGTCTTGCTGCAAACTTCCAGGGAGAGAAACTCTGTGCCCTGTCTGACAGCCTTCCTGGTAAGACATTTCCTCCTTAGGGTAAACCAAAATTCCTCTCCTTTGTCAGAGCAATAGCTCTGCCCTCTACCCAACTCCTGCACAAGATGTTTCTCTCAAGACAACCATCCACCTTATTGCAGGGCCATCAGGATGCCAGGGCCTGGCACTCATGGGGACCAGTGATAGACGGTGTGTTTTTATGTATACCCTTCTTTATTTACAAAGGAATTGTAGATGGCTAACTAAAAGTTAGATTTCACAGGCATTGCTCATTGATTATTGTGTTAATCTCTTCTCTTTTCTTTGACTTTATAAGCTGGGTTTCTGTG